TGCTAGAACATGGAACCGTATGCCGCCATATGTTTTGTCTTTTGTGCAAGTGGTGACGAGTGAAGCAAGGCCCTTAGGGCCACTTGTCGTAGGAAAAGGAAACAAAAGAAAGAGAGGAATGAATCTTCTGCTAGAACATGGAACACATACGCCGCATATGTTTTGTCTTTTGTGCTGGTGACGAGTGGAGCAAGGCCCTTAGGGCCACTGCTCGTGGGAAAAAGAAACGAAAGAAAGAGAGAGCTACGGTAGTAAGTAGTTGTAACTTGTAACCCATAACTGCTCGAAAGCAGACCTGACTTCGGATCCAGAACATATATTGCTGGCCTGCTCTTCTTTTTTATGAAATTTGCTGAACATCTCTTGAGATGTTGGGACCCTTGCATATGTACTGCTGGGGTCCTCCGCGAAAAAGACTATTCAACAAGGAATACGTGGGCCCTATTTTTTTTTCTGCGGGGAGTTACACCATTGGCTACCTCAGCCAACCTTCTCCAATTTTTTTTTTATATCCTATTTAGTGGGGTGCGTCGCATCACGTGCGCGTGCATGCTTACACGTGCGTTATGCGCCGCACGTGCAGAGCTCGAGCGCACGCGATACGCCGCAGGTATGGGTTGGAGTATAGGCGGAGTATAGGGGTGATATAGGGGATATTGGGGGGGTTAATAAGGATGTTGCGGGCGGTTCGGGAGTGTTAGGTTGGTGTATGCGGGTATTGGGGACCACTATGGGGGTGTGGGTGGGGTTATTAGGGGTTCTGAATCCCAAAAATAAAAATAAAAAAAGTGTGGGGTGCCGATGATCCCCGACTGCTAGGTGCCGACCAGCCGATCGGTCGGCGGGTCGGCAGCCGACCAGTCAAGGGCCGCCGACCGTCGGGGTGTGCAACCCTGGTTTAGTTGCTTTTTTGCACCATATAAAGTTTGAAAACAAGTTTGAGACTGTTCAACCGAAAATGATACAATGGTAGTGGCACACACATATACCTGTTGATACAGATCACCAGTTTGAAGCCCTGCAAGATATAATCTCTTTTCAACAACAACAAAAAAAGGATACAAGGGTAAACTTCGCTTCGGACATTCCAGAGCTTGAATGAAACCCCCCGTTTTGCAGATTTTAAAGTCGAAAGATTAAGGTTTAAACTTTCAACCTTACTGCCGATTGCTGTGAATTGAATAGGAATGAGATCAGCGTCGTTTGCTAATTCCAGAACTGAACGACACTGATCTCATTCCTATTCAGTTAACATCACATCATCACCGAATTGAGGATTTGATCATCGAGCTTCAAAAGAGAGAGAGAGAGAGAGAGAGAGAGAGAGAGAGAGAGAGAGAGAGAGAGAGAGAGAGAGAGAGAGAGAGAGAGAGAGAGAGAGATTGTTCAAATTACTATTGTATTATTATTGTTGTAATTATTATTTTTTTCCTGGGTGGAGCCTACCCCTTGTCTGGGTCAATCCTGACATCTCACTTTTTGTCCAGACAGTTGGAATCCGGACATACGATTTGTCCGGATCCGGGTCTGGCGTGACCATGCAAATTACACGTGTAATTACCTGCAAAATCGCAGACTGAGAAACCTGCGGGTTGCCTGAGTACTGCTGTTCATTTGACTGACGTGCTGAGATTTCCGTATTCTGCTGAGATTTCCATATTCTGCTGAGATTTTGAGGATGTGTGTGTGCAGAACTGCCGAGAGCCCGTGTGCTTGCCGTGTGAATGATTGCATGTGTGTGTGCGGACCCGCTGGGGTAACCTGTGTGCTGAAATGGCCCATGCGCCTGGTACTTGCCTATGCCCGTGTGTGTGAGGTTGCAGCAGGGTAGTAGGTAGAATCAGGCGCATGGGCCGTTCCAGCACACAGGAAAGGTACCGGTCCGGTAGACTGAGTCTTGAGAGGCCGGAAACACTCAAGTAGTGTAGGTAGGCAGAAAAAGACAAAAAGGTAGTACCTTGGTAGGTGGAGGTCCGTTTTAGAGTTGGTAGGCTTCGAGGAAAGGTACTTGTCCGGTAGACTGAGTCTAGAGGCTGCGGGAGGGGAATATCAGATGGCAATCACGTTTCCCTCTGAAACGGGGGACGCACCGGTGGACTTGGAGAAGTAACCACGCGAGGAGGCACTTCGCCGGTATATCTTGGGAGGAGGCGAAGGGCTCAGCCTCATTTGCTTGCGTGCACCTTGGAGGCACACTGCTAGATGATCCACCCAGCTGAGGCAGCGCTGGGTGGAGGAAGAAGGCGGGGCTTGGCATCCACCCCGGCTATGGTGGAAGGAACTAAGGAGGAGCGTAGAAGAAGGGGGAAGAAGAAGGAGGGGGAAGATGGAGGAAGGGGAGAGTGAAGAAGGAGCTTGCTTTGGCTATGGTGGTTTGCGTCTTCATATTCTTGGTTGGTGCTGCACCTGGAAGGCTCCAAGTGGCATGAAGAAAGACTCCGGGGGGTGGAAGTAGGCGTGGAGGCTATAGTGGGTGCGATTTAGTAGCTTTGTGTTGTCCTTTGAACATCGGAGTCTAGCTCCGAAGATCTTCCACAGCCGTCGGCTTGACCAACTAAGTAGTAGAAGGTGTGGGATAGCTATGGTGGAGTTCTTGAGCGGCTGGCAGTAAGGGGAGGATTCGCACATTGGTTCTCCTTCATTCATTCATTGTTGTTGTTACTTATTATTATTAGTACGATATTGGGGGAGATGTTGGAGGAGGGAGATGAGCTTGGTTCTAGCTTGTGCTTATCTTCTTCTTCTTCTTCTTCTTCTTCTTCTTCTTCTTCTTCTTCTTCTTCTTCTCTATCCATTCATTCTCATTAGTTCACAAGTTCCAATCCATATGGTAATTCATGGAATCAGATGCAAACAATAATGTTAGGGGTTATCTCGCCTCTTTTCTTTCTTTGTTTAACAAAAAAGCTCTTCATCATCGCTCGGGTTACTCACCAAATGAAGTCGGGCTACTCACCTAATGAAGTCATACACTGATAGGAAGATGTCGACAAGAGACGATCCTGAAAGTAGCGATGGTCGCCCTTTGAACAATAGCAACTGGGCAAGAAGAAGCCGCCTGCAGTCCAGGAAAAAAACACAAATTGTCAACAAGAAAAAAAAACAAAAAAAATCATGAACCAACGGGTCTAGCCCAGTTGGTATATAACCCTGAACAGTTGAAATACAGACTCAAGTTCGAATCCAGATACCCTCAGTTGAAGGGAATAAATTTCAATAAAATCATTCTGAATTGCCGGGGACAGTAAGTTGTAGGGATCGATTTCTGGACCCACGACAGGTGCCTATCTACAGTCAGCAACTAATTTACGGGACGCAGACCATCCTATCTTGGAGGATTCCCCCTCAGAAAGCCCCTACTGCAGGTTCCCCAACGATCTCCTCCACCAGAGTCTGTCTGCAAGGGTAATAAATTACTAATAATAGAATATACAGAAAGAGCTAGGCCAAGGCTACATATCCATGAACATGAACAGCAAGATCTGAAAAACGCTTCGTCACAGACAGATGGTACACACATGAGCTCACAGATACCGATGTGCAACTACTCATGGCTATGCCGAAAGCTTCAAATGCGCACATTCCCTGACGCGCATTTAACTTTTTATTTATTAGTAAAGTCGACAACCTGGAATACCAGCCAGACCGCCCCTGTTGCCTCTGAGTGGCCATGCCAGGTCCAGGCAAAAGTCCAGCTCAAGTCCAGCTAGGAAAAAAAAAGGAAAAAAAACAGCATGATGTAGAATTGCAAATCAAACAACTTTTGGCCGAGGGCCACCCCAAAAATCGTTATGAAATTTTAGCTGAACAAGTGGACCCGCCGCAGCCACGCTGCGGCCGAGGAGAGGGACGAACAGGGGGGCGGGGCTGTTGTTGTCACACTGCTCGGGAATTTTTTTATTTTTTTTTTTGCGTCATCATATTCGCTATACACTAAAAAAAAAAGCATGACTGTGGCAGACTGTTTCCGGCTGATCAGGAGGTTGTGTGTGTGTGTGTGTGTGTGTGTGTGTGTGTGTGTGTGTGAGAGAGAGAGAGAGAGAGAGAGAGAGAGAGAGAGAGAGAGAGAGAGAGA